GTAAATATTTGATAATCTGACCATGGTGATGCTTCCCCTATAATCTCTTCTACTCAGGAGGCTGAAGCCGGAGGGACACGAGTTCAAGTCATTGCTGGGTAACTTGAGGAGATCATTTCAGAAATAAAATAGAGAGCTTGGGGGGCAGTCCCATATACAGTGCTCCTCTAACATGGCCAAGCCCCTTGAGTTTGATCCCTGAATGCATAAAAAAAAAATTAGAAAAAACAAACTTGGTAAAAAGATACTAGACTCTACACTCATTTTCTCCTATTTCAAAAGAATTAAGGGAGAAAGAAGAAGAGAAGCAAAATGAAAAGAAAAAAAGGAAGAGAAATAAGAGGAAAACAACAAGAAAATTATGCAGTAGAATTGTAAAGAAAATGATGAGCTGTAGCTGGGCCCAAGAAGACAGCAGGAAAAGCCCTGGAAAGGCCTTGTGAACTTGTTACGCTTGCCAAGACTTCGACGGTGTAACCTTTCCCCAGAAGGGGCGAAAACGTGGTGGAAAGGTGCCTCTGTGCAAGAAAATTCATAGGATTAAAGAAAAGAAAGGAAAAGAAAAAAAACTGAAGCCAAATTAAATAGCAAAGAAGCTGCCTGAAAAAATAGATTAGGAGTGGAATAAAGTTTAAACGAGGCAGAAAAATGATGTTTGATTTCTTGTGGTCTGTAGAAAAATAAAGGGAATCCGTTAATATACATTCTTATTTTGCTTTCCTACACATTAAATTAGTAATTAAATTTTAGTGTAGAAGTTTCCTTCTAAAATTCTCTTGCAGATAAAGAGAAGAAAGGCTATTTCCTGGCTAGGAAGTGGCAGGCAGAGGTGAGTGGCAACTCCACCCCCGCAACCCCTTGGCCAGCCAAAGCCTCTGTAGCAGGCACCGTGAAGCTCTTGCGGTGAAACCACTCAGGGTTTCTTGCTTGAGGACTAAGATTGAGAGGAAAGCATGGGCACAAGTAGAGAGAGAGAAGGGAAAGGAAAGGAAAGGAAAGGAAAGGAAAGGAAAGGAAAGGAAAGGAAAGGAAAGGAAAGGAAAGACTAAGCACCCACCACTAGGCCTTACAAACTGTCAACTTGATGACAGTGAAGCCCTGGCAGCGTTTTCAATAAGTTGATTCCAAAGCTGCAGTTTATCCCCCACTTCTATGGCTGCATGACACAAGGCCAGCTTGTACTTGCATTTTCTTCGTGCTGTCTTCCCTCCCCTGGTGGATGTTTGTGACTCACTGCCCAACTTCTTGAAGGTTTTGCTTAAACATCACAGTGTTCTCTATATGAGGGTGGCTTCCCCTGTAGTCTCTCACACTGCATCTTTCCTCATGGTCTTTATACTTGCTTTAAAAAATTACTCGTTTTCTGTTACTGGAATGTCAATGCATGCATGGTTGTGTTTCTTGCTGTGTCCCAAACACTCATGAGTGTCCGGTGTATCAGAAGTGTCTAACAAACAGTTGCTGAATGCATGAAATGTCGTTTTCCTATCTGCGGAAACAGGGTATTATACTTGCAAACATCAGCTTGCAGTCAGATGTGCTGCAGTTCTAGATGTGCCACTTAGGAGATTTTTGATTGTGAAATGTTACTTAGTTTCCTTGTTGCTAAAATGTACATGAAAATATATCGCCCTCACAGGACTGTCATCAGCGCGACAGGAAACAGTACGTGCCATGCTTGTGGAATGCACTTGCCAAATGCTAATTTGCAATCAGTGTTGGCTATCAGTAGCTTAGGCATGACCACTGAATACTTAGAACACATTAACCTAACTGTTTAATAGCTTTACATTCAAGGCTATAAAACAACCAGTACAAAAATCTCAGTTTGTACTATTACTAATATGATACTCCAAAGTGCTCTACCATAATATATCATGCGATAGCAGGTGCTAACCATTGGTAATAAAAAATTAATGCATATTTATTAGAAACAAAGTTGTCTTTCTTCCTTAGGAGGTCAATTGATTGAGTTCTCAAAAACACGACAGAGAGTCCTCCACGCCGAAAGTTGGGTCTGACAGGCATCAACAGTTTCAGCAACAAAGCTCTCATCGGGACACTTTAATTTCTTTGAAGAGGCTAATTCTCCAGCCCTCTGTTCATCTATGAGTTTGAGAGGATGTTTGTCTCACACAGAATATGAATTTTTATGAAGTGCATTAAGAGTTCTGTCCAACTACAGCCACCATAGAGATTTCCTATCTGATACTCTTTCATGCGGATTATAGCTTAATGGGTATTTTAGGCACCTTTATATTTAGTTGTTATTGTGGTGTCTTGTATATTTTCTAGTGGCAGCTATCATTTTGCAATATTTTCTCCCCTTCTGCTGAAGTTGCTGTTTTAATATCCTAATCTTTATCTTTCTTGAAATATCTTCAACATACTATGTTTTTCTCCCTTCTCAGTTTCATATACCCTTCTGCCAAACTCACATTGTTAAAATTTCCCAATGTTAAAGACAAAAATCTAAAAATTTGTGTAGCTATGAAGTGCTTAACAACACCTTCAATTCTTATAAATATCATTGTCTTTAATAGGTGTTATGTCCACCGCCGTGTGCGTGGCTCCAGTTTTGTTTACAGAAGGCATAATCACTGCGCATTGCGCCTGTCCAGTAATGCTTAGGAACGCTGCTGACAGCGGCAGCCTTAACGCAGTGGCCAACAAGCTCTCTCCGCATTGCTTTTGGGGTGACTTTTGGTCGGAGGCAGCCAGAGAAATTACACTTAGGTACATCTAGAAAGAAATACAGATGAAAGATCCATGTGTTCAGTGGAAAAGAAAGAAGAAAGAAGGAGGTGGAGGTAACTCTTTTCTCTTTTCTAGCCCTCGGCAAAGAGAAGGATGACGCAGAGGAATCGGAACACGCTAGTTATGACCGGTCTCGTCTCATTAGCAGCTCTGTTACCAAAGATAAACCCGAATCCAAGACCAAACTGTCTAAGGTAATGCGAATGCAACTACCCGTAAATCCCTTTGGGACCATGACCTTTGAAACTTTTAAGTACGGTTGCTGTTATGTTAGAAAATATAGAAAAGCAGGGCTCAAGGCTAAAAAGTTACTTATAGATATCACATTTGTTTTTATGATCAAAATTGTTATATTTTAGCATATTTAAAGCTTTTCTCTTTTATTTTTAAATTTTATTGATTCACAATGTTTTAAAAATATTGTGTACAATGTACTATTTCAATAGGTGTATGTGCTATAATGATTAAAGCAAAGTAAGGACATATCCATCACCTGGAGCGTGTATCAATTTTATGTGTAAGATCACTCATGATCCTCTCATATTTATTTCAAAGTACAGGTCAGTTACCTTCCTAACTAGTTACGCTGTTGTGCCGTAGACTACTAGATGGGACTTATTTCTTCTAGCAAGCTGCAAAACCTGTGAAAAAGGATATTTAAAATATTGGATCTTAAATGTAAAATTATGTAGCAGTTTTCTCATTAGAGAATAATCTCTTTATTTTTCATAGTTGGGGAAAGTCGGTAATGCTTAACGTGAGCATAGATTTTAATATCAACTGGTCAGAGATTTGAATTTTACTTCTACAGTTTACTAATTGTAGTAACTGATCAGATTGGTTATAGCTACCCAGCCTTGTTTTTCTTCTTTGGAAAATGTGAATCCTGTGGTTTGCTTGGCAAAATTCCTTGAAAGCAAAATGAGATAGCTTTGTAAATGTGCCTGTCAGGCCTTAAGAGCTGACTCTGTGACAGACGCTTTTGACAGTTTAAGGTTGAGAACTGCACACTGAACTAAGACTTCACAACAAATGCAACAGTGCACTGCACACAGCTTTAATGTCCGTGGCTCCGGCGAGCTCACTACCGCACAAAATGTTTGGGAGGACTCTTCAAAGCCCTGGAGGGCGGCCCTCCAGCACGGACATCACATCGCTGCTGCTGCTGCTGCTGCCTTTTCTTACTACACTGTGACAGATTCCTGCTCCTGTCTGCATACTCGCAGAGAGATCCTGCCTCAGGCCAAGCTTACACGGCCTCAACCTTTTTGATTAAAGTTTGGATGCTTTTGAGAATAGAAATTTGGATACTTACCCCATAAAACAACTAACATGCTAATTGTCACTCCACACGTAGCTAATAATCAAAGTACTGGATATAATTTCTTAAGTGGGGTTGGGGAGATAGCTCAGTGGTCTAAGCACCTGCCTGGTAAGTGCAAGGACCCAGGTTCCATCCCTGGTACCACACATCGTGCAGGCCCAGCACTGAGCTGGCCCCTGAAACACATGATGGCGCACCCCTGTAATTCCGGCATGGGGGAGGCTGAGACAGGAGCATCACTATGAGTCCAAGCTGCGTAGTGAGACCCTGTACCAAATAAATAAATAAGTAAGCAAACAAATCAATAAATAAATGATTTTAAAACAATTAAATCAAAAAATAAATTCCATTGCAAAAGCCAAACTACTTCAAAGCTGTGCAGGTGGACACTTCCCAGAGCTTCTCCTTCAGGGAAAGCCAGATAATCTGATCAGAAAGTGCTGTTGGTGGATGTTTATCTGGGGGATGTTGAAATGACCTGAATTTTCGTCATTGTTGCTACCACCTGGATATTCTGTTCTTTATGAATCCTGTGCAGTCCTGTGGCCTACTTCTCTGCCTATATTTAACTATGAAGTGATATCTGTATATATTAAAAATGTGCATTGTTACATTGGGTCTTATGAGATTGGTAACTTTCATCCAGGAATTACAAATAGTGGGTGGCGACAAGCACTGCATTGAAGAAAATGACAGGGCAGTGTTGGTGAGCCTACGGCACTCGGCTACCGCTTTCTGTCACTGAAAGCTCGGGAAGGCTTGCCCTCACTGCCCTAGAGCTTTCTTGCAGAGTTTGCCAGCAGCTAGCAACCAAGACCATTAGAAGTAACTCCTAATGGTCCACGGTGGTCTCTTACTTTACATATATATAAAGAAACTGTGTTGAACTTGTCCAATGAAAAAGCCAATAAAGAAATACAGAGGCACTTGACTGGTTTGATGAGTTCTGTGTAGCTAAATTCTGAATATGTTTGAAATTTTGCTTTGCCAGCCCTTGTGTGAGCATTTACTGAACGATACTGAATAGGGCAGTGGATATTTATTCTCGTAATGTATTCATAACTTATGATGATTTAAGTTAAGTACATTTACATGCAACTGCAGTTAGTTTAAAGATTAATCCAGAGACACAATAACTTGTGTCTTTGGGTGTTTGTCTTTCAAACATGAACTTGTAGCATATGCTGTTTATTCTGAACGTTTCATATTTTAGGGATCATAAAAGCATCTGCTATCCTGACTGATATCAAACATGATGAAATGATACTAATAACCTAATTGAACTGATTGAAGTGCCCTGTGCAAAGCTGGCTATTCTAGGACAGAGAAGATGGCAAGTGCTGGACCAGTGGGCAGTCTGAGCCCTGGGATGCGATTCATGATGAACACTTAGACATCAGTGAAGAAAGCCGAGAGGTGCTGAGGATTGGAAGTGGAACTGGGGCCAGGGAGGTAGCTCAGCAGCATAATCGCCTGCCTGGCAAGGTCCTGC